AAAAATAAATAAAAAAGCGGCTGGTATTCAATATTATTTTATTTAATTACAAATACTTGGCTATTGGTACTCAAGACATAGTCTTTCCATATTACCACTTTTCTATTAGGCCTTGAAATTATGTTAACGACCTAATACAATTCGGAAAATCCTATGATTGCATAAACTGCGGGAGGTGCTAATAATGACAAATTTTAAATGAAATAGAATTTATTTAAATAATTTATTTTAAATTCTATTTGTGAGTGTCTGCTTTATGCATTTAATGTATCAAATGCAGAAAAGTGAGAAAATCCATCCAACACAGAGAAATAATTCTTTCTAGTCTGTGGTAAGATTGTATCAAATTCATTTAACTTCCGTTTAAATTCGAAATGCGATCTCTCAAATCAACGAAGGATACATTTTGGCTTTAAATTCTACATTAGTAGCAACTGTATAATAGCTAAACTTTACCAAAATATTTGTAAAACCGTCAAAATTCTAGAAATTGCTATAAAATCCCGAAAAATATTAGGAAGATTATGCTTGCCAATTCCACGCTGAAAAGACGAAGATGAGCTCGACAGTAAACGAACAACTTGTGGAAAAAATTCAACGCTAAAATATAAATGCATATGCGAAATTTTCCAAAAATTTCTGATAAATATTGTACTCTCATCGTAAATATGTATGGACTTATAATGTGATGAAAACTGAGTCGGTAAAAGAATGGATTAAAATTTAATTTCCCAAAATAAATTGGTTTACTAAAACTAAATAAAATAGAGTAAATAGTAAAAAAATTGTGTAACAAAATAAATAATGATCTTTCTTAAAATACTGCCCAACAAAACTGTCGAATAATTGAATGTTCACAAGCTTGGAAGCTAAAATTCTAAAAAGATTTCGGAAAAATTCTGCAGTCACATGTTAAAAGAAACAAGTCTACAGGCTACTAGTACAAAGAAAGAGGAGGGAGACGAAACTAAACGGAACAACTACTTCTTGGCATTCAATAGCGGGGAGGCAATTTTATGGCTTATCCATCACACTAAGGGGAAGCAAACATACTGCCTTAGGCTGGGCCATCTTAGAGAGATTTCAGAAAACGAAAGCAATTTTTTTTGGAGGGGTTTGTTGTCTGACAACGCGACCGTTTTCGAAGCATTTCGTTCCGAGAAGCGGGCTCGTTGATGGGTTAACAATAGAAACAAGATACAAATGGGAATCAAAAGACACGTCTGGCCTTCACTTTTCCACATAGTCGCCAAACCTGTTTAGGCATTTGTCAGAACGTTCGACCAACTTGTTTATCCCGTCTTGGTAGTAATCAGGGCTCTGCTCATTGAGCCATTTCTCGGCAGCTGTTTTCACTGCATTGTCTGAGGTGAACCATGTTCTGGATAAGTATCGCTTCAACGCCGGAAAAATGAAATAGTCACTTGGAGCCAAATCGGGGCTGTATGGGGGGTGGTTCCAGACCTCCCACTTGAACCTTTGCAGAAATTTCTGAGTCTGGCGAGTTGTATGGGGCCTGGCATTGTCATGCAGAAGAATGACGCCTTTGCTCAGTAATCCAGGCCGTTTGCGCTGGATGGCTTTACGCAATTTCGTTAAGGTAGCACAATAACGATCGGCCTTAATGGTATGGCCACGCTCCAAATACTCGATTAGGATAACACCAGTCGTATCCCAGAAAACGGTTGCCATCACTTTACCGGCAGAGGGTATGACCTTAAACTTCTTCCTCGTCGGGATACAGCGTGTTTCCACTCCATCGTGGTTCTTTTGGATGTGGGGGAGAAGTGATGAAGCCATGTTTCATCACCGGTAACGATGCGATCAATGAAGTGTTGGCCGTCTGAATGGTATCGCTGAAGAAATGTGAGGCTGCACATCATTCGACTGGCCTTATGCTCTGCGGACAAAGCACGTGGAACCCAGCGGGCACAAACTGGAATATCGCAACTCATCGGTTACTATACGCTGAACGTTACCATAACTCAGGTCCAACTCTGAGGCAATCTCACGCACGGTTACTCGTCGATCCCTTTGGATGATTTCTTCAACATGTGCCGTGTTGATATCCGTCCTTGAAGAACTTGGACGGCCGCTCGCTTCCATATTGCGTTTTTCCACATACTCCCTGCCCGCTTGATAAGAACGACACCATTTCTCTACCTGTTGTCTACTCATTGCTTTTGTCCACCGTATACCTCAACGATTTGTCTGTGAATTTCGGATGCGGCCACATTCTTGGCCCATAAGAAGCGAATTACGGACTCGCATCTTCTATGCGAGAACCACTTTTCTAGACGTCGTTGTACCATTACTGTTGCTTCTTAAGTGTCTGTGTACTGACGCTACTTACTCATAGAACCGCTGTAGGACAACTAGCGCCATCTGTCAACCACCCTGGGTGGAAATATTCGTTCCACAAACTCGTAGAACCGCTATAGACAATTAGTGCCATCTTCAACCACCCTGGGTAGAAATATTCGCTCCACAATTATTACGTTTCAAAGGCCTTCTGCTTGTAAACTTTTTTCTGGATCAACCTACGTAGTATGTTTTTAACTGTCAGTAAACTGTTTTCCTTCGGCATTAGTCCGGATAATCGAGAGTACACTCTACTAAATTATTTCAACATCAACTGAGTTCATTGCATAATATGAAGTTAACGTTTCATGATTTAAATTAAATTTTTGTTGTTAAAAATTATTTAATCTCATTATTCTTTAAAACTCCTCAGTTATTGATTTATTAACATAAATTACAAAATATTTAGCTTTAAAAAATAAACGATTATAGTGATTCATAAATAAGAAGGAAATTCCATAAAGTCTTATTTGAGATTCAGTTTAAAGAGCCTGTTTTACATTTCAACTAAAATATCTTAACCCAAATATCGGTCTTTATAGAAAAGATATGTTTATTGTATTGCTTATTATACATATACAAAATTAAATTTTAAATCTCAGCTTGAGGACAAGCCTCACATTTAAACTTCCGGATGTAATTGCTGTCGGGGCACTGTAGTTTTGGAATAAAAGATCTGTTCTAACAGTTTTTCTCCTCTTTTGAATCACCAAGGAGATGTAAAGGGTCACTTTAGTGTCTTCCCTCTCGCTTCGTGGGCAGCTGAAAAATCCTGGTTTCCTTTTTGTGCTCTTCGTGTGAGACGCATTTTTTTTTACATGGTAAAAAGTTTAAGAATTCTGAAAACTGTGACGATAAGTGTTATTTTTTGTTCTTTCGCACATTGCAATTCACCGTAAGGTACACCTTGCACAGACACACACACACACACACCAAAAAAAAAAAGTGGGGGGGGGGACAGTTCTACATCATCCGTTCTACTGGACTGATTATCGAAATTTCACTTGTATTTTATATGTATCAAAAGAGCAGGATATATATAACATTTATATATAGCATTATTCTAACATAGGTATTTTGACATAAAATTCAGACTTTTTCTGAAATAACATCAAATATTCTTCCATATTTCGACTCAAATTATGCTGGATATTAAACTTTGTATTTTTTGATGTGAAAATTATGGAGAAATTTAAAAATTTATCTTGGCGCATTTGTTTCAAGTTACGGCAAGAATAGTTCACTTGGCGAACTTCTTAATTTATAGCAACCTATTTCTCTTTCCTTTTTTTCATTGTACATTAGCGAATAAAAGGCCATCGCTCATACTTTCAAATAATTTTAACAAAGTGTGTAAACCACAGTTGACGTTATTATCGTTTATAATGAATACACCAAACTTAAAAACCCGCCAAAATGCAAATTCACATAGATCTTATCTTTATCACGTACAAATTTTGAATAAAATACTTTAAATTTTTGCAGATATGCTTAGAAATACATTTACTTTAAGATGATGGTAAAAATTTTATAGGCTATATTTCAAAAGTTTTTTTTCCAAGAGATTTAAAGTAATTCAGTGACCATAAAGACGCCATGATTTTTTCTAGTCAAGCAACGAAGCTTGAGAACTGTTTCCTTTTGGACTAAGAATTCTTTTTCTGTGTGATAAATAACTGTCATGCTTCAACTATGATTTTTCGTCATTTGGATTTCATTCATCAATGGCTGGTGAAAGTTATATTTGCGAAATGCTGTATCGGAATTCTTGCTTGACTTCTAATTCTTCCGTATTATGATTCTGCTCTACAGAGCTTTAAGAACTATCTTAATTAGGTAATAATACTATCTTTGATTGGCAGCTTTATTTCGGCCTTAAATCTTATTAAATACATGCAAGTAAGAAATAAAAATGCAGTTTCATTTTATGATACAATGCAAGTTAACAAGTAAGTAATAATATTTCAATTTTTTATCACTTCAGTATTGCAGCACTTCAATTTAATGAAACCTTCATGGTAATTATCATTTAAATATCTTTATTCTTTAAGGCAGAAACTAATTAAATATTTTTCCTAATACAGTAGAGTCCCCACACTCTATTAGGAAAAATGTGGACTGAGAGTCTGTCGAGTTTCGGGAAAATCGAAGGAATGCGGTTTTTAGAACTTTTAATATTTAATTGTGAATTACTTCAGTTTTTTTGTAGCACAATACTGGACACAGAAAAATTCAGCGTACAATTAAATTAATGTTGATTTTTTTATATCAAGTTCTAGAACAATAGAAGTCATAAAAAGAACAAATACCCTAAGATAATTGAGTAAGAAACATACAAAAATGGAGAAAAACTAGTAGTAGTTATGTCCTCCATGTAACGGAGAATTCCTTCAACGGCCTTCAGTCCTTCACTATGGGTCATCATTTTAGCTCTTCCGTTGTCTTCAGTCTCTTCGTTTTCTGATTCATCTACATTTTTCTCCATTCTTCAACATAACCATCATTAACTTCTTCGCAGCCTGGAATTTTTCTTAAGCAAGTTAACTATTTCATGATTTTCTGACTCTTCCCTGATTCGTTTCCTGAATGATACAGCAACTCTCCAGGAACGAAGGAGGCTTTATCTGCTCGATTTTTCTTCAAGTGTGAACTATCCATCCATTAACATACAACATATCTATTTTTTTCAGTTTCTCAATCGTATCACATACTTCCTCGAAGGTCAGGACAAAAAATGAAAGAAATTTACGTCTGTACATTTTCTTCAGTGCCTCCAAAACGTCCTGGTCTATCGGCTGACACACTAAAGTTACTTTAGGAGGGAGAAACATAGCTCTTATATCTTCGTCTCCTAACTGTTCTGTATCAGGATGGGATGAGGTTAAATATTGCTCCATCGGATCCGTTTGATGAAAACATCCTTCCTGTTTAGTACCGGAATCCGTTTGACGGATTCCGGTACTAAACAGGAAGATCATAGTTGGTTTTTCGGTCCCATTAGTGTACGTGTTTACCTTTTTAAACGTCCGGGGATTCTTTGATTTGCCTGTAAGTGCTAGTTTGAACTTACGGCTGCCTGTTGCATTGCTGCATGCCAAGATTGTGACTCTCTCTCCTACCTCTTTTGTAGCTAGGTGCCGATTGTTCTTCCCTGAATGCCAGCACTTTTGAAGGTAGCATTCGAAATTTCGGAGCGATCTCATCATAGTTATAAATTTGATCTCCAGATATACCCTCCTTTTCAATTAGTTTGTGGAAATTATTCTTGAATATTGCAGCATTTTCCCCACAAGTGTTTAACTGTCCGATTTCGGACCTCTTTACACCCTATCAAAGTAAACCGTTTATTACCTAAATCCATGGTAATTTTGTTTACCCCTTTGTCCCACTTTGTCCGGTCTCTTTAAGGTATCTAGTTTCATTTCCATTGTAACGTTAGTTTGTTTTGTTTTCTTTTCGAACAGCACTTTCACTTCACAGAATATCAAAAGTTACCCAAAATATGTAACACTTGGATGTGAACTGAAGAACATAATGAACTGGCGTTAGTTTAGTTTGTAATGAGATGCAGTTACCAAACTTCAGACAAGTCTCCTAATGTTTCGCAACAATAGACAGGAATGTGAGTGAGAGGCAAGCCGCTAGCTGGCTTTCTTCGTTTCCTCGACAGAAGTGAACAGCGTTGGCAAGCATTACAACATATCTTGAAATTTGTTAAGGAGTTCCAAGAATTAATGGCATAATGCAAAAATGACAAAAGTTCTAGAAGAAGAACACTCAAATCTTTAAACAGAACAGGAAAGATGTATGAATAAATAATATTAATAATAATAATAATATTTTAATAATAATATAAAATATAATTAAATAATAATAATAATATTTAAAAAATTCCTAAAACGTTTTTTAGTTATCCGGAATGTCGAGTTATCGGGAGTCGAGTTTCTGGGATTCTCCTGTAACAACTATTTTTTTTATTCCTTATTACTGAATTATTGCATTCACAAATTAGTTTTGTATTCATATATATATTTGAGTTGTCCTGTATTTTTACTACTGTTAGAAAGATGCAAAAACATAATAACAAGAGTGTTTATTTATCTTTTCCTTCCAGTGTTTAACTAAGGGAACGTTATTATACACCACAACTCAAAGGTGCCGCTATGGAGAGATGTGAAAAAGTTCAGTTCACCTCAGAATCAAACATGGTAAAAAACTGAGGCAGTATACAGTTGCTCTAGTACGTTAGCTTACGCCAGTTCTAGAAATGAATGGTATTACAGAACTACAGAAATTACTAGTAATTACAAGAGATTAATAAATTTCAGAAAAAAATATATTTTACACTAAAAAACGAAAGTCATGAGACTAGAACATTTTTGAGTAATAGTCCCCGCTTTTAAAAAGAGTTTGCGATATAAACAGTTAAATTCTTTTTTTTTTTCCAAAACAATATTAGTTTTATTACTAAAAATAAAACAAAAAAATTTATTCCACAAGGAAACACCTCCCATAAACGGCATCATGGCAATCACCTCTCCTAAATGACTATTATTAACAGCGCCCAGTATTTTTCTGACAGCAAAAATAAACAACAGTACTAATAATTACAAGTGTATTTCCCTAGCTGAACCGATTTCTAACTTTATCGGGACCGTCGAATACCAAAGGCGTTTTAAATTAGGTAGTAGACTATAATAGTTCCATGTACTGTAAAAATTAGTAAAAGTATTTCTAACAACAACAACAATAATAGTAATCTTAAATAATTCTGATTTTAACGGCTCACCATAGGGCTTGCTCTCGTTTTTGTGCTCTGGCTGATATAGCAGTTTACTAATCTGCTCTTAGACTCCCGTCTACTAACGAATTGTTTTTGTCATTTTGAATTTTATCACTAAACATCACTTTATTCGTATTTACGCCACACAAAATATTTAACTACAGTATATAACTACAGTAATAGAGTGCTACGTGTTGGTATATATTTTCTTATATTCGCTAAAAATAATGCACATAATAATAAAATATAATAAATAATAAAATAACATTTGGTGGCAACATCTTTTTATTTGAAAAGTGATGCTGAAGAAAATGTGAGATTCGAGATTAATAAAAACTCTGGTGCTAAAATGAACGAACATGAACCCTCCCCCCCCAACCCCCACGCCCAAAGTTTCCGTTTTTATGATAAAAGTGTTTTTGAAATCGTTTTGAAATATAAACTTTATCCTTATTTCATATCAGTTTAATTTATCTTAGAAACCTTTTTGGATGTATTTGTTACACGTTAAATAATTCATTATATTTCTAAAGTATTTTTAGAAATTTTTTGTTTTCTTAGCTATACACACTGATATGAAAGACATCTTTAACACTTAATCTGCTTAGTAAAGGTTAGTTATGAAGTTATGTATTTGATATCTCTCATGCTATTATATCAATAATTGTCATATATTGTCATGAACTACTAGCTTACTTTAGTTAAATTCATTAGTTTACCTTTATGTTTAGTTTTATAACCACAAGGGTATGGTGGATTTGTAAGAATAAAGAATGTGCCTTTTGTAAATAATAGCTCAATGAAAGGGTCTTTTACACCCTTTCCATGTTGTATTCATCTTTTTTTTTTTAACGATAAGTCACCAACAAACTTAGAATTAGGTTCAGTAGCACTGTACGTTAACCAAGGATACTACACGTTACAATGTTTTGATTTAATAAATAAAATTTAAAATTTAGATAAAATTTGTTTTATTAAAAGAGTTTTACAGTTTGGTTACAAAATCAGGCCATTAGCTGCTTTTAGATCGTGTATTTGGCCTACATGAAGTTTGAGTTTAAAATCACTGGCATAGAGAATATTGCAATTAACAACGTAATTTCGCTTACTTAGACTATTTAACTAATTATAATTTTTCTTTATTCACTCATTGTTTATATTTTGTCTCAGAAATGCATACTAGTTCAAGTTAAAAAAATAAGAGTGTTTGTTTAAGTATTAATAATAATAAATGGCAAATTTTAAACCTATTTTGATATTCGAAAAGTATGGTTTCTTTACATGTGAATGAATATTTATTCACAAATGTATATCTAATATATTTAATATTTATTTTACTCCTTCAATCTGTAAGGAACATGCATATTCGTAGCCGATTCAAAGGTTTCTGAACAAAAGTATAAAACAATTCTTTCTACATTAACCGGTTCATTATCGAAATATAGAAATATTTAATATACATTTGCCTCAACTAAATTAATAGCTTAATTAGATATTCTAAATGAGCTATTTTACATATTATCAAAAGTGTTTCTTTTAGAAAATGTAATGTTTATGTTTACAAATAGTAACAGGTTCATTTCCAAATGCGAAATGCTATGTCTATTGTAAACTTACAAAAGATGTACTTACATAGGGATAAGAACATTAAAGATCTATGAATATGGATACATCTAAGTATTACAACTTCTTTAAAATAAAAATACCTGGACTCTTTGATATTCTCAAAGAAATTTAATGAACTTAAATAGGATTTAATTCTATTTACGAAGCTATTTCTAAAATGTTTAGGCTCTTGAGTTTAGAATTAATCAGTTGTGGCAAACTTCATTTACGCAATGTATTCGGAGATGTCTTCATTACAAATTTTAATCAGAATAGATTCATATAAGTCTTTAACTTTTAAATACTAACTTAATGAAATATCAAAGTAGCGGTCTGAATGCAATTATTTAATCATATAATGATTCTAAATAAATTTAAATGCAAATTCCTCCTTTTCACATAAACAAGGACATTAAATAAATTCAATTAGAGGGCTTAATACAGGATGTAGACGGAAGTACTTTTATGTTCATAATAATATCCTAGATAGTGAGCAGTAATAATTGCGAACATTAATTCTTGGTGAAACGTAAATTACAAACGACAAACTGTAATCAAAGTTAGAATTATTTTAACAAAATGTATGATGCGAAGGAATACAAGCAACAAAGATCGAAAAGAATTATGAAGGAACGAGCTTTGAATAACACTCATAAAAATTTAAATACATTGTTTTTTCATGTAATAATTTCGAATAAGTATCATTATAATTCACAAAATTGCAAAGGAAGAAGGGAAAAAAATAATACAGGAAACATTTTCACAAATAATGAGCTCATTTAAAGATTTAATGAAATTGAGTAAATTAAAAAATAAATGCAAGATTGTAACAGGAGCTTCAATAATCTGTTGGATGAAAACTATTTTAATATGTTTCTCATTTATTTTCAAGAACTTTTCTTGGCACTGTAAAAGTATGTTTTAGTGTTTCAGAAATAATATCACGTAAGATTAGACGGACATAATAAATAACTATCTACTTATTAATAATAAATTTCTAAGCACATCCAATATAAATAATTTATTGCTTAGCTCAAAGGAAGAACGTTAACAAAAAAGTACAACAGGCATAATGTTAGTACCAGCTTTCGTTGTTAAGCTGGAAAACTTCAGATTATATTCGAATTTCTTGAAAAGAAATTTAAAAAAATGTTTAAAACCATGAAAACTATAAAAATATTTAAAAATACAAAATGTTAAAAAATATACAAACGCATAAATTTCATTTGTCTTCGTAAATAAAATAATATATATTCTAGCCAATTCATAAAAGCATATTTTTACTGTTGAATAAAATTTTAATTCCTTTAAAAACGATCCGAAATTTTATGGTGTACGTAATAGAATATTGTAAAAACTATTTTATCTATAATACAAAGTAAAATACAAATGTCATATTATCAAAATATGTGCTTAATAATTATAGTTAAAATAAGTTTTTGAATAATTCACAGCAGTATTAACGCAACCACTTTAGTAAAAGTCGCCAAATTTTCAAAGTGATCGAAACTTAAACTATGCCATGTGCATGGCAGTACTTTAGTTTAAACAAGCAATACCCCCCCCCCCCCCAACATGCGCTCTTTTTAACACTCAAACGTTTTTCAAACAAATCGGGATATTTTTTGCTTTAAACATAACCTTAAAGAATGAAGTTCTGAGATTTCTCAGCGATAGAAGAAACTGCAGTAAAATTTCTGCAAGAATGCAGGATTTTGCTGTAATTTCGTTAAACGGGACAATTGCTTTGAAAATATTCTGAAAGCAATGATCCAAAATTTCTACTAGGACAAAAAGAAAAAAATCCGCTCGTAGACA